TATCGTGTGGCTCTCAGCCTATGTACTGAGGCCACTGTTAACTCTACGAGTCATGTACTGAGAGTCTGTTAACTCTTCGGGTACTCCGTACCCATATGTGCGCCACACCCGTGTAACCCCGTTACACAGACCCTAGTTTAGCGCTTTTAAACGCCTAACTATCCTAAAATAAATGGCAAGTAGTTGAACGTTAAAGAATTTTGCCACTTTGAACTTACAGCGTTAGTTAGACTGCAAATAAAAAAGTTGAAGTAGTGTTGGTTTAGAATGGCTCGCGTCGTTGAAAACAGAAACGTGTACGCGAAGTATCATTTGCATGCACCAATGCAGCTGAGCAAATACACCCACTCGGCTTCCCCATTCCTCCCAGTCCAAAGCAAAGTACTCTAGTTTTTCTAGCAATATCAACTTATGTTCGCGAACTAGTGTTTACATTGTTTACGTCGGTTGGAAGCTGGTATCAGACAAGGTAATGACTATACCTGGTAATCGGTAATAGTGATTGTTCTGGCCGCTGTTAATGTGCGTTGACGCTGCCGTGTGCTTACACCATGCGACCCTGTCATCCGCGAGAGCCCCAGTGACGAGCGGAATCACGTCAGCGACTGTCTGTTGCTGAGTTTCATGTGTGTTGCCAAACCGTCTCACTTTTCAAAACACTTCCAGCTTTACAAGCTTCCCACACAATCATCCACTCACTCTACACTTTCCCTACAATCATGGCCTCCACCAACAAGACTGTTCTCATCACCGGCAGCACTCGTCGAATCGGCCTCGCCTTCGCCAAGCACTACACCAAGGCTGGTTGGAACGTCATCGGCACGGCACGTGCCAACAGTAACACGGAGAGGTATTTCACGTTGTTTTGCGATAGTGAATGCTAGATGGAAGCCCTTACTCAGTATTTCTCCTATCTGTATATTGTGCAGCCGAACGCGCTTTCTCCTTTCAAAATCGTCGTTATGGATACAAGTGACGAGACCTCCATCCTGGAGGCAGCTCGTCAGCTGGAGGGCCAACCCATCGATCTGCTCATCAACAATGCCGGTATTGGTATCCCCAGCGAGCTCGAGACTGGCACCAAGGACGCGCTCATGAAGCAGTTCGAAGTGAATACCGCCGGGCCATTCCTCATGACGCGTTGCTGCCCAATCTGCAGCTTGCAGCGAAAACCAACGGTGGCGCCTCCGTCATGCAGCTCTCGTCATACCTCGGAAGTATAGGCAGCTACACGACCGAGACCACGGGCTTCTTCAAGCAGGCCGGTTACGGCTATTCGTCCTCCAAGGCCGCGCTCAACATGATCACTCGATCTTTAGCGTTCGACCTGCAGCCAAACGGCATCGTTGTCGTGTCAGTGCACCCTGGATACGTGGACACGGATATGACCCAGGGCAAGGCCACGCTGAAGCCCGAGGACAGCGTGATGGCCATGACCAGTCTTATCGGCAAGCTAAACCATGAGAGCACGGGCAAATTCTTCAACCTAGACCCGCAGATCCCGTTGGTGGAGCTTCCGTGGTAACTTCCCTTTGGTAAGCGGCAACATAGCTCGTCTGTGATTCTTGATCCACAAATTGACGGAAGAAATGCCCTCGCTAATTCACCTTACCTCAAGCAAAGTTACTGCGGGGTTATAGCGTTGAGTTGGTCTTTGGCGCTTACAGCATGCTCTGATAGTCCACTTACCGATATCGAAATAGGAACAAACTATTCGTCGAGCATTCCATCGAGTCGGTTTATGTCAGAACAATGCGTTATGGTTTAGACCCTTAACTCACTGGTATCTCATGATTTCCATTTGTCAACTAACCACGACTCAAGGTTCATGTAACATCGAGGAAGCCGGACTAAACTACTAAATTAGAATTTGAGCACGAGACTATTTCAGCTGGCCAATCCGCTTGCAGACGGAATAGCGCATGGAAGTCACCACCAATCATGGCAGTTGTGTCTGTACTTTCGACCGACAGCTTTGCAAAACTACTTCATCCGTCTGTAATAACGTCCTCAATTCTGTAGATTTCACACGGTCTCTGTAATTCTAGCCATTTGTCTCTTCGAGTTATGTACTGAGAGTCTGTTAATTCCCCATGTACTCCGTACTCCTTGTGTGTCCCACAAAGTGTAACCCCGTCACACAGCGAGTTTCGCCAGGTGAAACTGATTTCAAGATTTAGTTGTAGGCTACAACTTGTAGCTCTAGCAGTATTTTTCAGATATGACCGTGGGATATTTGCACCATAGTGAAACCGGTATGTACCGCCAGTACCGGCCAGTGCTTTACCATGTCCTAAACTGTCCCAAATATTGTAAAATGTTTTAAATTTATGATTTTTTTTTTATTTAATAGTGTGGTATAATAACTGATGCCTGCAAATTGGTGCTGTACCGGGTCTGGTCAGGCATCAGCGATTGCTGGTCTCCTTCCAACGATTCTAGACTTTCTCGCCCGACGTTCGATACCTCCTTTCAACACCGAAACGTCAACACCTTGAGTGATACATGACACCTTTGCATTAAAGCTTACTCTTACTGGCATAACTACGCTTACACTCACTCTGCACTCACGAGCACTCAAAACCCGACGGTCAACGCCTGGCCGCCTTTGTATGGTACACATCACGGCGGTGGCTTTACAGCTGAAGGTTCTCTTCCTTTGGCTCGTCAGTCATCGACTCCTCGGCCGACGTCTCCGCCTCGTCATCATGTTGCTTGGATGACTGCGGCATCTCGACGGGAATGAGACTGAACTCGATATTAACGGGCTTGCCACTATCGTCCGTGACGACTGCAGCCACCAGATTCACTGACACTGCGTTGCCTCCCGCAGCGGAGGCCTTGACCAATGCACTGGTCGACTGTTTAGTCTCACGGACCTTCTGCATGATGCTATCGAGCTTCTCCTGGTCCGCACAAAGGTACGGTCGCAAGGTCTTTTGCTTCTTTAGAACCGGCTCCGACTGGCCAGTGTGCTTGACAAAGGCGCTGTTGAACGTGACGGTCTGCATGTTCATGTCCACGACCACACGGGCCGTCGTGGTCTTCTGGAAGACGCCACGAACGACCTTGTCAGCGCCCGAGGAGGACTTTTGCGCCTGTCTGCGGAAGGCCTCGGCCTGTTTCTCAGCGCGCTCGGCCTTCTGCTTGGCAATGAGCAGATTACTACGCAGCATCTCGATGTAGTGCGACGCGTTGTCCAGAATGGACTGTTTGTTCTTCTTGGTCTGCACGCCGGCCTCGTCCAACATGTCCTTGAGTTGGTTGATACGGTCGTTGAGCTTAAACATGCGCTTCTTCTCCTTGAGATTCAGGTCTTCGCGAGAGCGTTTCGAGCCGCTACGCGCGCTGGAGGGCGTGACCACCGCGCCGTTGGCATATTCGTAGTCCGAGGACACGTGCAGCATCTGTCCGCTCATCTGAGGCGGCGGGTAGTAGTGCGGAGCGCCCTGTACGTTCATCATGAGCGGCTCCGTCTCGTACTTCGGCGCCATGGCGTGCTGCGGCGTCATGGCGTGTTGCGGCGTCATGGCGTGCTGTGGCGTCATGTGTTGCGGTGTGCCTTGGTGCACCATGTGACTGTAGTCAACTGGAGGCTGCATGAAGAGCTTGGGGCGCTCGCCACTCTGCAGGTGCTGCTGCTGTTCGTAGCCCATGGCGTTGGCAGGGGAGGGGGCGTATCCGTAGTCTGATAGCATAATGAGAGCAGGGCGAGAGGAAGGCGAGAGGCTCAAGATGCGAGCTGCGATGGGGAAAGTGTTGGGGTGGCGACTGGACGTTCACTAGTGGCGGCCAAATGGGAAATGGGAATGCAAAAGTCGAGCCAGCTGGCAGACGGACGATCCACCAGTTTCTTGCCAACAGTTGCACCTTGACGGCCTGCGATTGGTCGCGCTGGTGACCAGTGTAGAAGCACGGTTTCTACTGTTACAAAGCCAGGAAATGTACGGAGCAAAAGAGCGTTCGGGGACGTGAGTGTACACAGTTTAGCACGGATTATTGAAAACTTATCCGGATGAAGCGAGCAAGCCTTATGAAAATACACTGGTTGGATACAATGACTGAAACTGTAGTGGAGAATCCACTGCGACGGCGGAGAAGGCGATTTTTTTTTTTTTCACTCGGTGCTCGACTGGGCTACAGTTTCTGTTGGAAAAACAAGAAGTTGGAGCGAAATTCTGCAACTAAAGTTCTGTCCGCCGAAAAAAAGTCTTCTTTTTCGGTCTCAACAGAGTCGGGCGGACAGTCTCAGTATATGTAGGACTTCGGCAACTGTAGGCAAGAGCTCTGGCTCATGTGGGACGCTGGCTTTGGCCTGATTGCTTTTTGCCGTCGAGTCGTGCATGCCTAGGCTCAAGGAAGTGAAGGCGTCCTAGCCACGTTTGAGCGGGAATTGCCCCATACGCCAGTCAGCATCGCGACGTCAACACCAACACCGAGAAGTCGGCGTGACGACGAAAGCGCTCTTTTCGGCGGGGACGAACACAGAGCACGGCTGCTGATACCGAAATTCCGGTATGTTTTTTTTAGATTCCTGTGGCTGGAAAGCGGGAGGAGTGAACATCACTAATTAGCAGAATCAAGCACATGACTCCCAAACCCGCGCTGGTGCAAAATCCCGGCCAAACATGGTCACCTCTTGCTTCACTTAGGTCCAGCCGGTGATCTATAGGCGTTTAGAGCCGCGGAAGGGCGTATCCCAGTACATTTACCTGTGTTGCAGCGGTCATGACACCCGTGGGGCTCTCGTTATTGCAACGTCTCAGTTCAACAATGTTTAGTAACGTCAGAAAAGATTTTAGCCAATCAAATCAGTCTGATAAGATGCAGAATGTTGGTCGTGAAGTTGCGGAACGTCACTCTGGCATGGATGTCATGGTCTCTTTGAAAGACTACATTGTGGAACTTCCTGTCGCCGCGCTTCACAGCGAAACACACACAAAAACAAAATTGATAAACTGACCGAGAGCTACCTATATGCTGATATGAATGTAGGCTCGCATATTCCATTCGCGGTTTGTAAACGTGAGGCGCTGTTTCGGCAAACCGTTTGACTGGGGGCCACCCCTTCACTCCATAAGGCTAGAGTTATTTTGATGTCTAGTTGGAAACGCCAGTGCGAAATTCCTCCGTGGTATGTCCTTTATCCACCTCACCTTTAATATGCGAATAGCTGTAGGGAGATTCAACAAGCTGCGTTTATGCTGTAAATAATCAACTATCGATCCAAAAACCCTAGAACAACCGAAACCAGAGACGAATTCGAAGAAATTAGTTTATGCTCTTATCAAACGTTAATGACTTCTTCACAGCTGTAGTACTTCTTGGTGCGCACTTGCATCTGTGTGCTAAGGTAAACCTCACTTTGCTAATACAGCAATAATCAAGTTGTAAATTGGTAAAGTAAAAGCGATTAGTGTGATACAACTAAATTTGATAACGCGTGTATTAATATACTCGAGGAAAATACTTGAAATATAAAAGTTAGAGAAAAGGAAAGAAAAGAACAATAATAAAGGCGGGGAGAGCCCACGCAACCGCTCTGGCAATCGTCCTGCCCGTAGGTTTTCTTGGAGATGAAGATGCCAAGAGCGAGTTATTAGCATCCTGAAGCCAAACCGCAGATCTCAGTGCGCCAGAATCTAATTTGGTACGATTCTGAACCCTAAAAAAAAGTTTGATATCTAAATTCGCATGGGACGCATGGGTTTCTATCATTGCCTGTGGACATATCTCCTTTCAGTGGGTGAGCGCTCAGCCATACTGCAAAAATCCTAGTGGACAATCAAAGAGCTTGACTCACTCAAGAGCTAGCTAAGCGCATTCGCCATTAAAATACGCGAGGCCGCGGATGGATGGAGAAATTTCGTGGGGATTCGCAAACACCACATGAAATCTTTATTGAGTCACACGGATGCTTCGAAGTACTACCTGTCATTAACTCGCTATAATAATTCTTTACGAAGTAAGTACTTCGCACCAATAATAACTTTGCAATCTTGTCTAATTATCAACTATTGACTTATGTTTTGCTTGCAATAATATTATGGTATTGCTATGCAGCTAAACGCCAATGCCACGGGGAGCACAGTTTAATCTATACTGTGTGCAACCTCAACCTTTGGACTTGCCTATGGTCGCGGTATGTAGTACGAAGTATGGACGCGTACATACCTAAGATGAGTTTGTATGTAGTGACATCTTATCGTATCTGACGCATTTGCCTTTTTGTAAATACGATGGCTACGCAACACTCGCTCAGCTTTAGACGACCTTGAACAAGATAAGCATCTGCTACTGTATCGGGTGTATCTATACAGTAATAATTGCCCGTGATGACGTTGTCTCTTAGCTGTCCTTACACTGCTGTGGTATAGCACAATCCCACTACTGCCGATCGATACAAAAGATCAATGTGTAGTCATGTTGGCCGCTCAGAAAACACAAGGTAACCATCATTACCGAACAGAGTGTGTAGAGTACCCCC